TTAAAGGCAAAATAGAACTTAAAGTAGCGATACCATTATTAGATTTTTATTCATAAGTATACATAAGTTATGAGTAATATTGTGCAAAGAAAGTTGTAAAAATTATCAAAGTCACCCCAAACTACGGTATATATAATGCCAAACCTTAGGAGGGAGATAGTAAATGGGTGTCCTTGCCCTGGTGCTATTATGGGAGCTTAAGCGTACTTACACTTATGAAAAATATGTATGGATTATAATATATTCCAAGACTTAATAAGAGTTATAACAGATAATCTTTCATTATTTAACAAGTTATTGATATACAGTATCTTATTGTTTTTCTAGACAGATATTGTTGATTTAAGACTCCAGTGAATTTGCAAATGAAAAATTCGGCATTTTTGGAAATAAAACATTGTTATGAAAATAACACTGGTGATTATTCCAGTGTATTATTCAAAAGGACTTATTCCTGGAAAAGAAATGTTTTGATAAAAATCACTTTCTTTTAACTTAAAATCTTTCGATTTTAAAAATTGATTTATTTTTTTTTAGGAATTTTCAATGTTGCATATTATCTAAGTCATTTAAAAATTAGAGAAGCTAAACACTATCCCAAAATTTAGAAAAATGGAAAAGGATCACTTTAAATTGAAAACCATATACATATATATTTTTTTTTCAAAAACAGATAACAATTGTAAGTCATTTTAACACCTATTAAATTATCTTATCTGTTTTTATTTAAATTTAATTAGGTTGGGATATTTAAAWCATTATGTTTTGAACTCTTGAKTTGATATTACATKGAACTTAAACTAATAAACGTCAATAATTACCAAAAACTCATWACTTAGCATTAGCTCATAAATATAATTGGGAATTTGGAATATTCTATTACRATTTGTAATTATTTCCCAAAAAATAATAATAATAAAAATTTGACAATTTAACCAATATTGATTCTTAGGTTTTATTCAGTTGTATATAATTATTAAAATCTGAAAAATCTTATTTGGAAGACCATGTTAATATATTTTAGGATTTAGTATTAAGTTTAATTTTGACGTATTCTGTAATTTTTACATGAAAACACTTATTTCAATACAAAGACTTGTATAGGATTACACTTTTTGATTTGTATTCAAACATTTTAACCTATGGAAGTGCACTGTATTTTTACTAGCCTTAGATGTAAAATTGCTGTCACTAAGTTTATATAATTTTGTCATTTAGAGTTAAAATGATTAGAAAACAAAAAATAGGTTTTCACAAATTTTAAAATAAATATATTTTTTTATACATTTCCCTTATAATCAACCCTTTTCAGATAATGCTTATGTTTGGATAAATTGAAGTTCTAACTAGTTAAAAGCAATTGTTTTCATCAGAATACAATTTTAGACCTACTGTTACGAGACAAATTATATTTCCAATCACTATGCATTATTATTTATTATTATAAATTAATTCTGAATAAAATATCAACACTTTAAAAACTGATAAATATATTTATTTGGTTATTATGTATTATTAATTACAATATTGATATAACTACCGAATGTAGAGCTTTTTTAGATTGATAATTRATTAATAAACTTTATAAAATATATATAATTATAAATATTTAATATCAAGTTCTAATCTGAATCAGTAGATGATAAATAATAAAATGTGTGTAACTGCAATAATAACAATTTACCCAGAAAGAAAAATATGGTTATTTTCAAAAAAATTATGATAGCATTAAAATGATAAAGGTATTGATTTATTTTTTAATAATGGTATGTTWAAAAAACTACTGATTTTGTAATAAATTTACTATCCATAAGTTTTTGCATACATTCCCGATACAAAAAATTTATTTTCATTWAATGATTGAGATTGGAACTTAAGTTTTCAATGATAAATTTAATAGTGATGAGTATACTACATAAAAAATTAAATGTTATATATATGGTTTTGGTTAAACGAACAATTTAATTTATTAAAAACTAAACCTAGAATTATAAAAACTTGTTAATTTAATGAGTAATTTCAATAAAACAATAATTAAGAGTTTAACCTCTTAAAACAATATTTTGACTAGAAAATTATCATCTATACTAGAGTTCATCACTTCTCGATTCATTTGAACTAGAACTATTCCATTTGCTTTTAAACTTTGTGGAATATGAATGACTTAATCTTGGCGATCGACTTTGTCTTGATCTAAAACTATGTGGAGATTTTCTACCATATCTTGAATGTGACCTACTACGCTTAGATCTTGAATGAGATCTACTTTTATTTCTAGATCGCRATCTTTGTTTTATTTTTATACTATCATTTAAAGTTTTTTCATACGAAGATTTGGATTCAATTTTATCGTTTTTCTTAAAATTGTATTTACTGTCAGTATTATCATTCCTCATACTATCACTACTACTGCTTGATGAACCAGAACTTGATGAACTTTTGGATTTAGATTTTTTTTCATGTTCATTTTTAATATCCAAATCATTAGGTAATTCTTTTTTTATCTCATCATGACACTTGTCAATCTTTTGGTTATATTCTACATCTTCATTAC